ATTTCTAACATCTTCGGCACGACAAATCATAATCTCTACTGCTACTGTTGAACAATTGATTGACCAACTACAATCTTTCATCCCTGTAATTGATCCCTCCATGAGTCAACTCAATTGGTCAAATATGAAACGCCGTAAAAAGCTTAAATTGGATTTGAGCCTTAGTTTGTGAAAAATTGTGTCTTTTGGTTTTATTAATAACATAATATTTGTGTTTTGTTGTTTCTTATCTTTGTTTTAGTGTATTTCAGGTTTGTCAATAGTCGCTGTTTCAGGTGATATCTTCTACACTCTATCTTTTTGCTTAGAACATTGAGGAAAATGTCTCGTTTTGGTTGGGGGGAGAGGGTAGTAGTTGATATTAAAAAAAAAATTGCAAAACTATTGTTACTAGGATGGCAGAGTAACGGAGGAACTTTATTGACTCTTGAGACGCATCTTAGTAAACATTCTTAACAAGGTCTATTATAATACTTCTTGAAATATTCAGGTTTACAAACTCTTGGATTGTTATCTATAGATTCTGTTTATATGCTCATCTAACAAGTATTTCTAAACCTTCATTTTCACACACACACTCAAACATATGATTGTGGGTTACACATTGGATTATTACATTATTTGTGTTCTTTTGTTAAAGGTAACAACTAAGGGAAAGGGATAGTATATAATATGCAAAAAAAAAACAAAAACAAAAAAAAATATATAAAAAAAACAACAAAGTAGATAAGTTTGGTTTTGTAGCCTCCTTGACTTAAGCAAATAAGCCCGAAGGGGTGTTTGAACACCTAGTACCCTAAAGTCAACTGACTTGGGAGTTATTGGCTCAGTGCTTGTTACATGGGTTGAGGAGAAAGCTTAAGGGAATCAAACACTGTACTATCTACATATCAGTATTTGCAACCCGAGTTACTAAGCTCGTAGGGGTGTCTCAAAACCTGATGCCCTAAGACCAACTGGTCTGGGAGTCATTAGCCGAAAACTCGTTACATGGGTTAAGGATACATTGTGCTATAAATTCTTGCTTTCAAAAAAAAGAAAAAAGAAAAAAAGATAACAATCCCAACCCAAGGAAGTTAACCTTAAACATTAGAACAAAAATTTTGTTTTCTTCCATGAAAAGCTCCATAGTTATATTTTGATTTATTGAGCACCAAAAGAAGGTTTACTAATATCTTGTTTAAGAGGTATTAAGCAGATATATAAATTTAATGAAAGTTTGTTTATCTGGATAGATTAATAGAAGTTAAATGATGAATGCCTTGCTTTGTGGTATTTGCAAATTATTTTTCTATTTTAATGCTTTGATTACTAGGGACTAGTAATAAGCTGGTTGGGGGGTGTGATTAGTACTTAAAAGTGCATTCTCATTAAGGATTTATGTCATCATATTACACCTAAAGTATCATTAAATTCCCTAACAAAAACATGTTTTATATTAGCAAGTCTAAAAATATAATATATTTTTAATTCATGATAAATGTTCATCCTAAATGCAGGTCTATCACATAAATAAAAGGATTTATTGATGAGTTTAAGGATTGAAATTGAAAGGATAAAAAGAAGGCCAAACTTAGCAAAGTGTTGCTGGTGCATTCCAAACTCGAATACTGTTCGGTAATTTGATCATATCTGGAGCTGTAGATATCAGATTTAGGTCCATTTTATATCGATGGAAAGGTAAGACATAAACCTACAACTTTTATATGGACTCAAAGACTCAGTTCTGCCGTTTTCAAGCTCAAATCTTAGCAACAACGAAGACGTCGGAAGCTGTCCTGCAGCTCAAGCACTATTCGGTTTTTGGCTCATATCTTGAGTTCTAGAAGTCCAAATGAGCTCTGGTTTTTTTTGTTGGAAAGCTGAGACAATTTCCCACAACTTCCACAATTCAGTTGGCTATAATTCTAATGTGAGCAATGACGTTTTGGCCAGCCAACAATATCAAAAATCAGCCCACAATATCAAAAAACCAGCAGCCATTAATGTCAAAAACCAGCCACCAAATCAATGGATGCCCACGAATTCTTCAATCAATCAATAGTTCTAAAACTTAGCCTATAAAAGAAGGCATTGTCCATGTATTTAGTTACATTAATTTTCATATCAAAGTTATCTTCTTGCTTTCTCTCTACATCTTTGTAATGTTCAAGTTTTCTTTTATGCTATAGTAATCTCTTGTTTATGCTCTTTCATTTCCTTTCCTATACTTAGTTAGCTTATATTATGTTTATGTTCTTATATTGCTTATTTATGTTCTTCTCCTTCTTAATGTTTAGCTAAGTTAATTATGTCAAGGTGAAAAGGTTTCTCTAATGGTGTTAGAATAGGTATAATATAAACTCAAAATGGGCTTTAAATGTTTATATCCAAGAAAGATTGTTATTAACATGTTTTATGTTTTTATCTTACTAATTTTTAATACCTTGCTTATTAAATGGTTAATTTAGATTTGTGTTGTATAATATTTGGTACATCAAATGCTTGATCCTTCATAGTTTTTGGCCGACATCGTTATTATGATAGGAACTTGATTTGTTGTTAACATAAACTAGCAACATGAATGCTTGATCCTTCATAGTTTTTGGCCGACATCGTTATTATGATAGGAACTTGATTTGTTGTTAACATAAACTAGCCACATGAATGCTTGATGATATTTATAAGTATGGTATTACTTAGATAAGATAATTAATATGATCATGTTAGTAATTTATAATGAGCTAATAACGAGAAATCATCCGATTAGAACCTCCTTTGTATGTGGTTTCTAGTTGAGTAATAAAAAGAGTTTATATTATATTTATTTGAAATATCATTAGTGAATCCTATAACCTTGACATATGTTTTGTTATTGTTTAATCCTTACATCCATATCACATCCCAAAACTTTCTTCAACTCCTTTTCTGTTATTATTCTCTCCAAATCTTTTTTTTTATTTGTAATTTATATAATTCACCTCCCTGTGGTTCGACCCCGGTCTTGCTGGGTTATTTTACTTTGACACTCCTGCACTTGGGATAAGACATCAACTCTTTGATTATGTCAACAAGCAAGTACTGGTGCCTCATGTTTTGAACCTTAGTAGACACATCTTTCCATGTCCATTGCCAAGGGTAAGTAATCAGATCACGAACATGATGCGCAGAATTCACATACAAAGCAATTGGTTTATATTTCTTCTCTCTAGTTTTCATTTTTGCAAGGGTCCCATCAGAGACCATCTCTCCATATTTCTCAATTAGGGTTTTCTCTTCTACTTCTGTCCATTTCTTTCTTTTTGGTGGCATCATTAAGTGAACCAAAATATTTACAAAAACTACTAAAACCTATAGAAGAATCACGACTAACACTTCTTAACTCAATCAAGATCCCAAGAACGTCACATAAAAAAACCTTTTAACATCAACCAAAACAAATCTACCCAGATAAAGAAAACAACAAACTAAGCTCCAGAAGACATAGTAACTAACAGTGCTTACCTTAAACTGGGTATTGCAGGGATGAGTTTCTTGTAAGCTTTCTGGAGGGTGATTTTCTAGGGAAATTTGAGAGAGGAAGTAAAGGAATCTGTGAGAAAGAGTACAAAGTTTAGTGCTTTTCAAGTGAAAGGGACTTCCCTTTTGTCTAGGACTACAATACCTGTAAAAAACTATATAAACGGTAATGTTTTTATGCATCTTTTAAGGATAAATGGTGGTGGTAGATTGGTCGGTCAAGGACATTATTAGTGTCCAATAAACGAAGAAAACTACACATTATTAGTTTAATTTTTAATATGTTTTCTTTCACTTCAAAGATGCCATCTTTAAGTATAAAAAAAAATGATGTCATGTATTACTACTCTTCTATGTAAATTAATGATGTGAAAATAAAAATAGGTAAAATGGTTATAATCTTCTCTCTCTCTCTCAAACAAATTGTGTGATTTTCAATATATTTAAAAGAATAGAATAAATAAAGGGGAAATAGGTGTTCTAAGATTATTTTTTTTTGGTCCAATGGAAAGGAAAAAGAAAACTAGGATCTTCTAAAATAAATTGAGAATCAACTAACAATGAAGGACAAATTCTTGGAGGAGGGTTCTTCTAAATATATAAATCAGAGTTAATTTTAGTTGTAAATTTAGTTATATAATCAACACATAACTTAACTTCTTTTAAAATATAAAACAGGCAAATTTTGTAATTTTATATTAGAAGTTTTTTGATATAAAAAATAACAACTCTAAATAAGTAATACTTGTTAAAATTATCATGAATCAATCGAATAATATTTATAAAATTACAGTTGTATATGACTTTTCATAAATTGCCTATAAACCACCTTTGGTTTATTACAAGTATCACAACACACATCTTTTATAAAATAAATTTAATATAATAACTAGTTATCCTCCAAATACTCATCCCCAAAAACTAAAATATTCTTCCTCGTCCACATCCATTAAAGACCAAACAAGAATAACAAGGAAATGTCTAATGAGGCAAATCTTTGACCCCTCTTTACCACATCAAAACTTAAGATCCTTGTCGGTTTGTGAGATCTAATCCAGGCCAAATATTTTTAGCAAAAACACAAGTTCTAATGCATTGTAAAATGTCGTTGTCCTTCTAGTTACAACCATCATATATTGAAGATGAGGAAATATTATGTTTAAACCGCAATAAATTAGTAGGAAGGCTATTATGAAATTATAGGGAGTATTTATTTATTTATTATGCAATAAGGATCAATTAACTAATTTTGATAAATTACAGGGACTAAGTTATAATCTGCACTTTTTTCAATATCTTTTGCGAGATCTCTATTCATCTTCTGCCCGACTAAAAATTGGTTATCAGTGTAAAATAATCCTGAGCAGGACAAGGCAAGATAGCTTATGTCAATTGATCTCAATTATTCTCGACAAGATTGAATATGATTTTTTTATTAGAGAAAAATAGATTGAAACATGATGTTATCATTTCAATAGAACCTCAGAAGAAATAAGAGAAAATTGAAACAAATCTATGTTAGCTGATCTTTATAGATCTGAAAATATTGCCCCAAAACAGTAATCATCTTTACACAACAATATTCACATCCTTGATACTCCTAATCTCTTCAAGAAAAGCAACCAAGAAAAAACAAAAAGAGCTACCATTAAGCATAAATAGCAGTATCCGTGCATATTGTTAATAGCATGCACATTGATCTCTCAGTTGAAAAATGCACGTCCTCTTTCTTGCTAGCTAGCTTGACCTTAAATTTGGAAGATAAGAATTTTTCCAAAGAGCGGAAAGGTTCGCCATGGCAGTGCTTAAAATATAGCCATTTGTTGCTCTTCAGTATTTGCACTTGTGGTGGAATTTTCCTTTGTGGAGACGGGAGTTTCGGGTGAAGATTTACTATTTGGAGCATTTCCCATATCCTTTGTTCTGTGAAGGAGAAAGGTCCCAGATAAGATTGTGATAAAACCACACACTTCAGTTACAATCTGTGATGCATTTTGTGAGTCCCAGTCCTGTATTGTCACCAAAGATGTGAGGAATGGAACAGATTAGAGACCTTCAAATCTGACAAAATCCGATAAAACTAGTATGTTAACCATGATCAAACAATGTGTTTTTGTCAGCTGGAAAGGAGTTGTGTGGAAGCTAGATCATTAAAATACTAGTACCTTAAACATGATCATGCTGGCAAGGATTGTCAGACTGGTAAACATAACATAGTAGACTGGAGATATAACTGCAGTATTAAAGGTGTCCAGTGCCTGCAAAACACTGCAGATTTAGAGAACGAAAAATTACGCAGCTCGGAGATTCAGTGATTCTTATATGCGTAGTAGTTTCAATTCATATAGAAGGATTGCGCTCCTCGAAATGTAATGTAATTAAAGTAATTCACTTCAACAGCATAAAATTATATTGCACAACAGAAGAGGAAGAAGCACACAGATTCAAGCTCCATAGTTTCTGAAATTTACCTTGTTCAAGTAGTTGATCTGCAAAAGGCAAGCAAAAACCACAATTATAGTGAAAAGCCATGTCTGATAGTAGATGAATTGGTTCGATCCTGAAAATGTCAGCTTTAAGGCAATTCCCAAGGCTTTGACACTCATAACCTGCAGATAAATATCTAGGGTTTATCAATAGGAATAGAACTTCCACTGTTAGTACAACCTCCAAAGATAAAGAACCGACCGTGATAGATCCCATGAGAGAGCAAATTCCGACATAAACAATCATATTTTTTTGACCATAAAGTGGTGCAAATCGGAAAATGAGGACAGAAACCACAACCAGAACTACTCCACTGTAGACAAGAAAACCTGTTAAAAACAGAAAGTGTTTAGATTGATAAAACTGAAGGATTCAGAAATGATGAATTGTGCAGGCTATGTCAAGAGAGTTTTTTTTTTTTTTTCCTGTTATCTTATTTCATTTTATCCTTCAGCATAAATCCAAAAGAATTCAAAGCATGCAGCTAGAGGATTAAGGATAACATCACCAATACCTGGCTCTGTAGCAAGGTGCCATACTTCCTTGACAGATTCAATAGCTCTCTCCTGCGGAGCATGTAAAACAATACTTGTCGATCCCACCACACAAAGAACACATCCAAGGACACCAAAGATGTGCAGTTTCTCCTTCAAGATGAAATGAGCTAGCACTGCACTGCAGAATGATGTTTTAGTCAGAAAACACCTACAACAGGCATTTGTAAGCTTGCACCCCAACCCACCTTCACGCACGAATACATCTATATAATTACTACGTACAAATATTTTTAAATCTACAAATACATGCTTAAATAAGGCAAAGGCCAAGGGAAAAGTTCTCTTGAATTCACTACTGAGGTATATATCATACCTGAAAATTATACTTAAAGCTCCCAACGGGGTTACAAGAATTGCAGGAGCAAATGCATAAGCTGCAAAATTAGCTATTTCTCCGACAATCACTGTAAGAAAGCTATATATCAGTACAAAAATAAATAAAGAGGAGATTCCAAATATCATCATATCCCTTAAAGCAATTGGAAAACATAGTAGTTCTGTTCAAAATCAATAGGTAATAGAACAGAACACACAACCCGGGCTAGCATCCCATGCATAATCAGTCGGCAATAAAACAGATGAAACAACATTGAGTCACGAATCTCTAACAAGGAATATCATTGACCACCTCCCTGCCAAAAACTTGAGGGTTTCAAAAATAGCTATCATTTTCTTATACCACACACTGATCGTCTCCATTCTATCTTTTTTCGTTCTTTTCTCTTCTCGAGTTAGATAAATATGATCTTTCAGATCGCATGAAAATCATTGAAAAATTTTAGCAGAGACATTCACCCTTTGTGTTTGCCTGTCACTTCAAACCAGAAGACAACAGTTGTGAGATAGCATCTTCCAAAGACGTCCTTGGTGTCATTGTCTGTTAAATTATAATGGAGTTTCTATGAATAATCATGTGGTCTTCAGCAAGACTCAAAAAGCAAGAATCTTGTAGTAATGGTGCTGTTCAGCTTGTTTCTCCACCACCTTTAGGTCCTTTACTGACTTTCCAACTGCTTCTTGCCCATCTCGAGAACAAAACCTTCAAGATCATGCTTGTGTTATATTCTTTTTAATATTCATAGCTAATTGGAACATGGAAGGATTTAGCAAAATTAAGGATGAATCACCATCTATCCATAAGTTTAGCCCTGGTTCCAAATTTAAGAAAGGATCTCCAAATTCCCTGCAACTGATTTTCATCCAGTCAGATTTGTCTGTCTACTCAGTTACTGTTATATCCCCTTACTACAGATTAGTTAATTGGCCATAAAGCTCATTTCGGTCTTAAGTCAAATGCTTGTGCTTAAGCATGGCTTCATCTCCTCCCAGCAGGAATAT